GTCCAGATACCTGGAGACAAGAATGTCAAGGAGCTGAGAGGCTCAGTGTTGAAGTCATTCCTAGCACTGGTAAGAGCTGGAAGGACTGGGGTCAATGCTGGAGTAAATAGTGGGGTCAAAGGGGAGCTGACGGGCAGTCTGTAGGACACCAGACTAAGCGTAGATAAAAAGGATCTCAGAGGAGCTTTCCAGGAGTGAGAAAGAAGGTGTGGAAAGAGTGGGTGGAATTGTGGGAGAATGAGCCTGTCACAGGATAAGGGTCTTCTGGGAAGGGGTCAAAGCTACAGAGAAGAACTGAGTGAATCAGGAACAGATGACTGACCTCAGGGAGCACAAGGCAAGGGTGACTAGAGGGAACAGCTTAGGCATGGGAGGATACATTGTGTGATACATCCAGGTGCGCACCCTAGATAATGGAGGTAGGAGACTGACCATATGGCATCTAAGTGAAGCGGTCCCAAATCGTCCTATGTCTGAGGGCAGGTGAGAGGAAGATTCAGGCCTCTGGCAAGGAGTCAACAGAGGCAAGCTGGAGGAAAGCAAGTTCTGGCCCAAAGAGGCCAGAGGCAGAATTTTTGCCTCCCAGTATTCCTAAAGCCACCTTCATTTTAGGGGGGACTAAGCACCCTTGAGGGAGAAGCCTGCTCTGGCCCAAGCAGATCTGAGGAACTCTGAAAGCCCAGGCTCCAGGTGGAGGTACTCTAGGCATTTCGTGTTCCACTCAATAGTTAACTCCTTCATTCACTCTTTAATCCATTCACTTATTCCTCAAACCTACATCAGTTGTTTCTTCCCTTCCTTTATCATCTGAAAAGGTTTAAGGTGTTCATATTAGCACTGACAACGTGCCAGGCCCTGAGCAAGGGTTTTAGAAATATATAGCTCCCTGTCTATAATTCCTTTGCCATGTTCCCTTCTATTAAAACAAAATTTATCCTGCCAGCATGACCTAGACCGAATTTCACCTCCTCCCTAAAAACTAAATCATATTGGCCATCAACTCTTCTCTTTGGAATTCTTTTACTACTTATTCTTGGAATCACATATTTTGCTATATAACTATATTTTATTCTAGCTTACCCTGCCTGTCCAGTGAAACTGTAAGCCCTTGGGTATGGAAAATTAGTACATGCATTTTAATATCTCAAATATTTACTAAAGCACTAAAGACACAGTAAGCCCTCAACATCATGAATTACATTCTAAAGAGACATGCCCCACTGCAATAGAGTGGTTCTTGATGATGCACTATAACTAGGCCTAATAATGAACTCTGAGTTTCTCAGGAACACTCACTGGAGCATGAACAGTTTAAATTACAAGGTCAGCTCCAGGAAAGACAGAAGATAAGATGTAAAGAGCAAGAGTAGCAATTTACATTTGTTCTCACCAGACTAAAAGAATACACTATAATACAGTGTCAAGTGAATGCTGGAGCTTTGGAAAGTAGAATGTTACACAGACATATTTTGTTGCACCCATTTTAGGTTTCCAAGAAGTGTTAGGATTATGCAGGTTTCTCTCTTGGTATGAGCAACTGCTTAGCAAGACAAATGTCAGATTCTAGAATCTGACCCTAGGACACTTTTCCAATACAGTGATCAAGTGACCTAGTTCAAGAAAATGCCAAATAAATGTCACGATTTCTCATTCAGCTGTCATTTTATGGGTAGGAGAGCAAGTAGGAGGAAAAGGGGAATATTTAGAAGTTCTAAATGGGGCCTTTAAAATGCCAACGTGGAGATGTAAGAAAACTGATTCCCAGCATAGTCTTCCCTTGACCAAATTTACTTTTTTCATTGCCCATCTGACAATGTTTCCAATTCCTATACCTTATTATCACTAAGCTTTATTTTTCTGCATCTTGTTGTTTTCTTCTATGATTATGTTCTTCCTTTTTATTTTATGCTCATTTTCTCCTTATAATCTCCTCTGTCTCCATCCCCAATGTTTAAAAGATATGTATTTTTGATTTTAACATTTTTATTTCAATGCCCAAAGTGTAGCTTGTAGTGAGAAAAAGACTTGGTTTGCACCCCAGGGGCCGGGGCAGCGATTCTTTATAAGTGGTTGCTCTTTCAGGTTCCAGTACTTACAATCTCTCTGCCCTAACTCAGTATTTCAATAGCATCACACAGAAAGTACCTTTCTGGTGCATCTGGAACTCCCAGAATAAAAGCACATTAAAGCTGGTAATTGTACTGCTTAATTTCATTATAATCTTAGATCCATTAATAGATTGTCCATGTACAAAATGTTTTAATATGCAGCTTGCAGTGCTTGCAGCTTTCAGTTTGCCAGAGGTGGTTTTTGAGCATCTACCACTATGTGTGGCAGAAACTGGTCTACAAATACAGACAGAAATTAGCTGCATTCCCATTCTCTGCTCCTGTGGATCTCACAGTTCTAAATAAAATGGAATTTGGCACAGAATCTTCCACAACTGTTCTGGTTTCCATTCCTCCACCCTTCCTGTGTGAAATGCCTCATTTTGGTTGCAGGGTGGTGGGGGTGGGGGGAAGCGTGGCGGACACAAGGAGTGGCCTCCTACTTTAACCAGGCCTAAGGACCCATGAGATGGGCAACATTTGTAAAGCATCTGTGGAAAGCAGGGAACCATTCAGGCACATCAACTGCCCAGAGAGCTGAGAGTGTGAAGCCAGCAGGCCTGGGCTGTTCTTCTTCTCCCGCTCTCTACTGGGTTGCATTCTCCCCTTGCTATACCCCAACTTGGATTGTCAGCCTCAGGTTCTGGGAGGACAGAAGTTTGTCATTCTCCTTAAACATCATCCACTACTTTGAACACTTACTGAACAACTGCTAACATCCAGACAATTTGAACATTCACTGAGAAGCTACTTGGATATACATAATTGTTAGATGCGTTACATACATTGTCTTATTTTTACAAACCTGTGAACTAGATGTTTTTGTTACCCCTATTTTAAGTATGCAGAAACCCAAATTGAAAGAGGTAGAGTATGGGTCAATGCAGCAGCTGCAAAGTGGATCTACATTGACCGTGTTTTAAAACAAAACAAAACAAAACAAAACAAAACAAAACAAAGCTAACATCCCACACTGTCCCTCTCTGGGATTCTCTGCCTGGTTGTCAAGCCAAGCAGGGGAACGACAAGCACTTGCAGAACGTCATTCATTCACTCACTTATTCACTCAACAAGCGTTTTCCTGGTAGAATGGTACCAGCTCAAAGGAGGTAGTTTCTGAATTCAGGGCCAATCACATGAAGGAGACACACAGCAATCCAATCGTTCAAATATTGAACCTCTTTTTCCATGTGTCTTTCTAATCATTAAAAAAAAAATCCATCGTTATTTGTATTATCTTTAATAGATACTGAATTAGCTTTCTTTTAACCGAATAAATTCAACATTAATCCCAGAGGTAACACTGGATTCATGTGACATTGTTTCAGAATCCAAACCGTCTGCATCATCTTTCAACTATTTTTTTTAAACTACCGTATACAAATAGTTGTTCCTTGATCCAATAAAGACACCGGAAAATCCAAATTCACAAAATAGACAGGATATGAGGGAGTATTAATTAGCATGGGAAACATCTTCCCTTTACAAAACAATCCACTGTTCCTTCAAAATGCCTAACAGTGAATCAATGCTGATATTAATAAAGAAATCACTGGTCAAAGAAACAGAAAGAGCGAGAAAGCCACGTGAAGTCCTAGGAATTACAATAGAGATAAGCAGAACCATGGGCATTCATTTACGAAATTGGGACTTAAAGGCAACTTTTTGGAACAAAAAGTTGGGCACGGCCAGGAAAGGAACCTCCCAGTTGTAAGCCCTAAGGCTGTAAGACTTTGTGAAAAGAATGTGGGGGTGGAGGGGAGAGGTGATCTACTTGGTTTTCTAAATTTTCCTGGGATTCATTTGCTTATGCATTCTGCTACGTAAAAAACACATTTTCGTCTAAAGTCTCATATCTCATCAACACAGTTTTCCTGCTATTAAGCAACAAGGTTACAGCAAGTGCAACAAACTGAACGGACTTCTTAATAATCTTTCCTTCTCCAGCCAATCCATCCTATCACCTTCGGCCTGGCTCCTATCCTGTTTTTCAGTTTACACTTGGACCTCGGCCCTTATCAGCTCCTCAGGAGATTCTAGGCTATTTTAATACTCTGTGGCTATTGTAAATCGGGTCGCGCCAGTTCTTAGCCGTGGTAAGAGAGGGGCTGCACTGGGCTGCGCTCTATGTCGGGCGACCACACACGGCAGTAAACGGACACGGTGACTTGACCGCCATCCGCGCGCTTAAACGCGGCGGGGCCAACCAGGCGTCCGGGCGCACGCACAGCGCCGCTCAGTGGCCGCTCCGGGCGCCTTCTCCCTGCCCCGCCGCCCAGCTCCGGATCTCGCCCCCGCCGCGTCTCGCCCGCGCGGGCTCCACGCGCAGCCTTAATAGGCTCCGAAACTTCGACCAGCGCTCCTGCCCGAGAGGGCTCTTCCGTCGGCCCCGTCACTCCTGCAATGGAAGGGTGGCCGCCTCCGGAAGGCTGTCCCGGCCCACATCCTCTCCCCCGCCGAGCCCCGCTCGAGCCCCAAAGAGGAGTGGGTCGCCTGGCGGCAGCGAGGTCGCCCCGCCCGCGCCGGAAGTCCGCGCGTGCGCGCTGGCCAGCCGGGAGCGCGCGTCCGGCGCAGAGGGGCGGCGGGGGCGGGGCCGCGGCCGCTCTCAGGGTGTCCCCGCCCCCGCCCCCCGGCGTTCCGCGGTCGCCGTGACAACCGGAGCGGCAGCAACGGCGGCGGGCGCGCGAGTCCGGCGCCGCCTCCCGGCTGCACTGCCAGCCAGGCAGCAACCGCCCGGCCTCCGCGCTCTCCCCGCCTCCCGGCCCGCGGGGAGGGACGGGTCCGCCCTCCGCCCGCCCGCTGGAGAGTGAGCGGCGCCCAGCCGCCCAGCCAGCCCGCCGTTCTCCGGCCGCCGTCAGGGCGCGCGCAGCGAGCGGGCGCGACTATGCTAAGATGGTCCTGCAGGCGCGGAACAAGCACCGGGAGGCGGCTCCCAAGCCGCCCCAGCCGCCCCGCGCCTCGCAGTCGCCGCTGAGGGGGGCGCCGGACGTCGGCGCCGGGGAGCCCGGGCCCGAGCGCGCGCCACCGTCCCCGGGGCGCAAGGGCGCCGCGGGCAGGAAGGGGCCCCGCGCCGAGCCCGCCGCGCCGCCCGCCGGGGGTGGCCTCGGGGGGCGCCTGGCGGCCCGGTTGCGCGGGGCGCTGGGCCTGCGGCGCGCAGGGCGCGGCCGGACCTGGACCACGCTCCTGTTAGGTGAGCAGCCCGAGAGCGGGCGCCGCCGGGACGCGGAACTTTGAGGCGCGGGTCCCCTCCCCTCCCTTTCCCTTCCTTCCCCTCTCCTCCTGCTTCCGCTGCGTGGAGCCCCGCCGACCGGACCCGCCAGTTTGCAGCCCTCTCCGACTTTTTGTCTGGGACGTTCTTACCTTCTCCTCCACCCCTCCACTCCTCGGCTCAGCCCTCCTCGCTCGCTTCCCACCCGCGCTCTGACTGGGCTTTGAAAGAATGGCCCGGGGATCAACAGCTGCCCGGCCTGGCCACGGGCGGCTGGTCTGTGCTAACGAGACTTGGGTGCTGCTGATTGGTGCGACCGGCCGCCTTCCCGTTAGCTTGGCCCCTGACCGCCGGGATGGTTTGCTTTGGCTTGGAAACGATTCCGTGGAGCTCAAAGCAAACGCACGTTCCCTGTCCTAGAGAGTTGCTTAAAGTTATAATTAAATTTTAGCGTGCTTTTTTCTTCTTGGCCGCAAACGCCTCCCGTGGCACTTTGTGCTTCCCCTCGACACGTCACTTTCCAGGTTCTGTGGTGTTTGGGGCTCAGGAGCCTTCATCCTCCCTGCTGGCCTGGGAACGTTTGGTGGGGAGGGTTCTCCTCCCCTCCCTCTGCCATGCACCAAATGGATGCTGTGTAATGATGTGCTGAAAAATATAAAGTTGAAGCATTCATATGTTGCGAACTGAGATCAGGTTTCCTTTGTTTCCTGATTGACATTTCGATAAGGCAAGTTATAGCAGTTTAGATAACAGGCCTAATTTTTGTAAGTCAACTAGTGAAATCCGGTAACGTTGCTTTTTCTGTATGCCTCAGTGGGCTGTTGTTACTGAACTATTTAATTACTGGTGGTTTATCCCTTAGGATATTTTCAAAAATCCCTTAGTGACCCAAAGTCCCCTTAGCCAGGAGTTGGGGTCCAGTATAAGCCGAGGAATAATAGATCACAGCAAATTGGCTTCTCCTGTGATCACAGACACCACCAAAAGCCATTCAGTCATAAAAAGCCACTCATCTCTGTGTGTATGTTTTAATGGGCTCAAGAAGGTTGTTGTTAGGGTGCTTTTTATTTTCTGTTGCAGATTCAAGCCTAGAAAAACTCAAGGTTTTGGTTGTTGTTTTTTTTTTTTTCCAGCGCATCATTTACACTCCCCGCCCCCGCCCCCCCCCCCCCCCACACACACACAATTTTTTTTCAGTAGAGAGCTTGAAAAGCTGGCTAGTGTGCAGGTTAGAAAAGCTCACCTTGGGGAGGCAGCACGATACAGTGGATGAGGCAGAGCCTTCAGATCTAGTACACAGCGGTTCAGTTTGGTTTAAGTTTCAGGTTCCTTCCTTTGTGAGTCTTTCCTTCTCTGCTAGTGGGGGGTTATCACATGGCGAATTTACTCCATAGGGGTGTGCTAAGGATCATAACTAAAAGGAGTGGGTGATACATGGGAAGATTCTTTGTGTTTAGAGCACTTGACACATTGTAGTTGCTGTAATAAAAGCAAATGTGTGATACCGATTTAAGATCTGATGGCAATGAAGTTGCGCTTTTATTGAATGACTAATGTAAACATTAACCACTTTGTAGTAAAATATAGAATGGCATTGCTTCTTCAGGGATGTTACAATAACAAATCTTAGAATAATGATATTTATTGCTATTTTCTGCATATTTACTTTGATTGAATTTCCTTTTAATCTTCTTTGGATGGATGCATGACTTACATTTGGATGACTTACCTTTGGATTTGGTAATGCCCATACCTCAATGCAGTTTTGTATTAATGTAACAGTATAGCACGTTGCTTGACCTGCCCCTTTAAGCATTTAAAGGAAGTACAGTGAATGTGGTAGACCGTATTCTTGGCTGTACCCTGGACCATGGCCATCAGATGTATGGAAGTTGGATGAACAGACCCAGGTATAGAGACTCTCTGTCCTTGTTAACCCTCTGCATGAGGCCTCAGGGCACCTTGAGAGATGATTCTGCTGAATGATTGGACCTTGGTTGCTTCTTTCTCTGGTTCTCTGCCCTCTTAGACTGATGTCAGACCTGTTTCTTTCCCACGATTATGCCCTGCCACAGCATCAAAAAACCAGTCAGATCCTGCAGAGAGAAGCAAAGTTTAGACATTTTTGAAAGCTGCCTTATTTCCTGTTTTCTTCCCCCCTCCCAGAATGAGTGAGAGAGGAGCTGACATTGTACAGTATTTTAGTATGGTACTTTAGAATAGCTGTTTGGTTTTCGACAATGAGAAGCATTGCATATTCTTCATCAAAAGTTCATTTGTAACTGATCAAAAAAAGAACAATTATAACAACTAAATATTAAGCTAGACAAAAATGGATTAATTTCTATTTAGAAAGTAATTTTGTAACTTGAAGCTCCATGATAGAAGCACACATTTTTAAGAGTAAGAAACTGACTAGGGCTTTCCTCCATAGGTTCTAAGCACTGATGAGAAACTCACTGCCTACCAACATAATTTTTTCACGTTGAGCCGTGTTAAGCATTGTTTAAAAGTCTATTTTTTGTTTGTTTGTTTGTTTTTGTTGTTTTTTGAGGTGAAGTCTCGCTGTGTTGTTCAGGCTGGAGTGCAGTGGCTCACAGCAACCTTTGCCTACTGGTTTCAAGCGGTTCTCCTGTGTCTGCCTCCTGAGTAGCTGATTTTTGTACTTTTAGTAGAGATGGGGTTTCACCATGTTGGTCAGGCTGGTCTTGAACTGACCTCATGATTTGCCTGCCTCGGCCTCCCAAAGTGCTAGAATTACAGGCATGAGCCAACATGCCCGACCTGAAAGTCTGTTTTAATAAATATATGTTTTTCTTATTTGGGGGCATTACTTGCTACTGATGTAGTGATAACATTTGTAAAGAGCGGTTCTTGACATGTTTAGTTTTAGAAGTTTCAGCTGGACAGCTTCTTCATGCAAAAGAGGCTGTGACATAGTAGGAACCTTGACAGTGTTTCCCAGACTTTTTTTGGCCACAACCCACATTATAAACAATACACTATATATTAAACCTGTTTACACTTCCAAAATGCAGCTCAGTACACATATGCATATGTCTGTATGTCTGTTGATCTATTTATCTATGCCAGTGTTCTGTCAGGAAACAATGGAGTATTTTCAGAAGAGTGAGCAGGTTTAAGGAAGCTACAAAAGATTGAATCAGCTTCCAAGGGTTGTCACCAATAGGAAGGTGTTATCACCTCTGGACCTGAAGGGAAAGGGGAGCTTTATCAGAGGCTGCACTCAGAGCTTTGTTGTCAGGGAAAGGTCACTCCAGAAGGGTGACCCCAGGCACTCGCCCTGCACCCTCCGGTCTCCCTCTAGTGTCTCTCACCGGCTGAAGCGAATGGAAACCCTTGGTGAAGGGGCACAGCTAAAACACTCTGTAGCATCCGCCTCTTGGGGTTGAGAACAAGGCAGAGAAGGGAGAAGAATGGATTTGAAGAGGTAAATAGAGACTGACTAGCACATATATGCGTGTATTTAAAACAAAAGTTTCATGTAATAATATTTAACCCTATAATGTGCAGTACATTCTGATTTTCTGTTCTTTTTAAAAAATATTTATAAACCATTAAATTGATTTCATGATCTAGTGTTGTGACCCACAGTTTGAAAACACAGGAACTATTTTCTGATTCTATAACCTGTTTTAAATTAGTTGGGTGCCTGAGCAAAGCATTTAGTTTTCTGAGCCTCAGTTTGTGCACACGTGAAAGGAAAGACCTGGACCAGAACAGGGCTTCTCAGTCTTAGCTGTGTACTGGAGTCACTTGGAAACTTTAACACAGCTTGGTATCCAAGCCACTCAAACCAGTTAAATCTGAATCTGGGATGGGGATGATGCTCACAGTGGTGGTGGTGAAGGGGCCATCAGTAGTTTTTAAAATTTAATGTCCTGCCTCTTTTTAATAGTAGGCATCTAGCATCATTGAGCTGATGTGCCTACATGGCAACAATCTGCGAGCACTATGTAAATCTCCCCATCCCCCATGAGAACATGACACAGACAGTCCAGTTCACTACAGCTTCTCCTGATCTCTACCCTTTCCATTCTTTTAATTAGAGTTAAGAGAAGAGTGAGGTGTTGTTTTGTTTGTTTTGTTTTGTACCCCTGTCTCTTGAAAAGAGAGAGGACAAAGCTTCGCTAGAGAAGGCTCTGTGTTTCAAGGGAAGATGGCAAAGGTACTTTTCTTTATGGTAGGAAAAGATTTACCCATTAGACATGCAAACAAAGCATGTCTGTGTTGAAAGACTGTAACAGGAGATACAATTTACAAAACAATAAAAAAAGAACCTGAGTATGGAAAAAGTGGATGATAAAAGTGGATAAAAAAGTGGATGCCTTTTACATCAGTCCCGCTTGACTCATTTGCATTACCCACCTGGTTCGTGTGGTCAATGGCAAGGGCTATAACCTGGTTTTTTATTGACAGGGCTTTGCAGCTTCGGCATTGTGGCATTTGGGTAGGAGTTTTTGTCGTCGTCCGTTGTTGTTGTGGGGGTTGTCCTGTGCACTGCAAGATTTTAGCAGCATCCTTAGTCTCCAGCTACTAGATACCACTATTACTCCCCAATAGTGACAATGAAAATGTCTCCAGATATTGGCCATTGGGAGGCAAAATTGCCTCATTTAAGACCACTACTTTTATTCTCCACAACTTATAAGAGCCTTGAAGCCCATACAATAAGAAACACTTGTGACTTCTTAGAAGCTGAAGTGGTCAGAAACTGGGTGGAGGCAGCGAGTTGAATCAGCTGTTGGGTGCTAGCTGGGTGGAGCACTGTGGTGTGGTGGAAGCAGCCATTTCAATACTAGGCTGCATTTGAATCCTGTTTCTGCATTCAAGCTGTTCTACGCTCCCTTAATATTTCTCACTCTTAGTTGCCTCATCTTTAAAATGGGCATAATAAGTGCTTTGTCTGATAAAAAATAAATGAGATAATACATATAAAATAATGCAGTAGGTTCATTCAT